TTACAGTCATTGCATCTTTCCCAATTCCTTTGCCATTTTAATAGCATACTTTTAGGCGTTCCCCACACATACATAATATATAAAGTTAAGTAATAAGAGAAGGGTTAGATTATTAAGGGCCACATGAGACATTATGTTAGAGTCATATGTAAAATGACTTCTTTCTAATGTTCTTTGCCCCTATTATAGCATACTTTTAGGCGCTCCCCAAAAATTTAAACGAAATGTTTAATAACAAGACAAAACTCAAAAATGTTTAATAAGTTTAAGGGATAAGTGAAGTAAAGAATGGTTGTATAAATATATTATTTATATTTTTTTCATTTCTGTAATCACCCAAAAGTATGCTACAAAAATTCTAAATACAAAAAAAAGAGGCACAAACTTTACATAACTAACATTATGTGTCAACTAGCACTTAAGGAATCCATCAAAACATATGTGTATTTTCTAAAACGTCTTAGCAAATAATATCCAAAATAATCCTATATCTATCTACATATCTATATCTGCCCTATATCTCCATGTTTCCCCTTGCTTCTTATTTCTTAAATTTTTTAACTTTAAGCTTTTCTGCTCATCTTCATTATTGATTATCCACTGTAGATGTTTGATAGCATTACCCTAAGCTCCGAATAGATTCGTTTTCGCAGCGGCATAATGATTGCATTATGTGTTTATGGAACTATAATTTATAGCAAATAGAAGGAATACCAACTGAATCCCATGAATATACATTTTTATGGCCACATATATAGACATAAACGCGAGGGTCATGTTGAAATAATCAACATGCCGGAGATTTCGATTTAGAATTAAAATCCATGTGAAACCAAGTGGACAGTTGGAAAAAATTCAATTTTGGTCATGGCATCCAAACAATCTGACAAACCAATAAACAACCGGGAAATCCCGGCCACAAAAGAAACCAACAAAAATGTGGTTTTGGTGGTCACTGAATGTATTTTTTCCGATTTTTGGAAAATGAACATTTCATTGGAAAACGTAACATTTAAACATTTTTGTCAAATATATGCTTTTAAATTACGATACTTTTCTAAGCCTGAAAATATGCTATATATTTGTAATATGCTTGGAAATTGATTGAATAATTGCCTTTTGTTAAGGCTAATTGGTTTGAAACAATTCTAAATGGGTTTCCACGAAATGCTTAAAAATGGAAAAATAACCAAACATAACATGGCGATAACAAGTGTTTAAATACTGGCCATGACCTTGCCATATCCTATCGAATAATTGATTTTATTAATAAAAATTAAAAAAGCCGTTTTATATCATGGATAATGACACTTCAAGGTTAAGGGCAATTACAGCTGGCTAACCTTGAAATAATATTTAATTTTCTCGGAGAAATTAGGTTTATAGCCAGTCAGTGGAAAATTGTTTTCTTCAAAAAAGATATAAATAAATTTCCTTAAGTAATTATTGATTTAAGACAATAAATAAAATTTTACAGAGACTTAACTTGGAAATGGAAAAATATATGTATTCCCAATTCGCCCTAAATGCAGACTTTGATTTCACGACAACATATTATCCCCAAAAATAAGCAATACTTATTTTTTCAACATTTTCACCAAGAATCCATTAAATTCATTTGAAAAATGGTGTTGTTCACTTTTAATTCATTTCATTTTATTTAAATTTCTCATTTTTTATTTCGGGGTTGTTGCATAAAAATCATGGCATATCCCAGAGGGATTATGCAGGTCTACAACAAAACATGGTGTGATTACACACTCAAATGGAACCAGGGAATAACATCAACTTGGGGGATGAACCGCTCAAAATCAGTTGATTATTCAGAAGTAAAACAGCAGGGAAAACTCAATCATAATCATTATCAACGCCATCGCCATCACCAGCGCTGGAGTCAGAGTCAGTGTTGCATGTTTTATACCAGCCAACAACAACAACAGCTCTACCATTAACATGAACCGAATCATATATTGTTAGCGACGCATTTATTTATGAATATGCATGTCTGATTGTATAAAAAAGATGTTGTTGTTGCTTTTTCGGAGTTATTGTTGCGAATGTCTGCGTGTCTCCTGATGTCACTGATGAAGTGCGATTAAATATGCAAAAATATACACACTTTGTTGCGCATATGTAATTGAATGAATTCCACTGACAAGGATATCAGGATACAATTTGTCGTGAAATTGTTTTATGACAATAAGGAAATATATATTTTACAATAAAAAATTAAATGTAATGAAAAAAATTAAATTTAATTGATTTATGTTTCCATTAAGGATTTTAAGTTCCCCATACCACATACATAAAGGTTAGTTTATACATCGTGTTAGATTCGTAGAGAAATTAACTTTATCCTCATTTATGTTTAATATTTTTAAGGCATACTTTTGGGCGCTTCGCATAAAGAATACAAACTTAAAGAATACAAAGCGTATTCTACTTTTAAATAATTTTTTTTTTCGATAAAAACAACTATATTAGAATTAAACCTGATACACCTTCGCTCTGGAACTGGCAAACGGCAACCTATTTGTGTGTGAAAGCACCCTCAACACAGATCGTAAAAATCTGTGATAGTGTAAAGGGATAGTTTGCTCATTTCTCCATACAACCTGTGGTTCTAGAAAGGGACCTCTGATTTCGGCCCTATTAGATTGGGTACTGGTAACTGAGGTCCGTGTGGTTGTCAGACCTGCTATTCTTAATAAAGTGTTCATTTTCAGTACAAATATTGTGGTTGAGACCCTAAAAGTATGCTCTAAAAATGTTAAATATGATAGTTGAAAAGTAAATTTGCTTGTAAATCCTACATGATGTGCAAACTAGCTTAGGTCGAAATTTAGATACAGCTCACCTAAAAATCTTCAACCGTTTACAGGTTATTTGTGCACTAAATGGCCAAAATCAGTTCAAATGACCTGAATTTTGGCACATCTGACCGAATTCAGTAGAGAAGCAAGTACATAAAATTTGGTGAAAATCGGTTCAGATATAGCTATAGCTCCCATATATATGTTTCACCCGATTTAGGGTTTTAAGTCCCCCACATTCGTAATATGCACTCCAAAAGAATGATATTTGGTACCGGGAACCAGATACTGCTCGAAAATACGTATGCCAATTTTTATCGAGATAGGTTCAGATTAGGGTATAGCTCCCGTATATATCTTTATCCGATATCAAGTTTATTGTGCACCAAATGGCTACTATCAGCCCAAATGGAATTTTAGCAATTTCGGCCGCATTCATCCCAGAAACCAGTACATCAAATCGGTAAAGATATAGCTATAGATCCCACACATATGTTTTATCCGATTTGGGGTTTAATGTACCTCACAAGTGTAACATTCATTCCACAACAATGATCTTCGGTACCAGATATCTGATACAGCTCTGAAGTAAGTGCATCAAATTTTGTCAAGATCGGTTCAGATTTGGATATAGCTCCCACATGTATCTTCAACCGATTTCGGGTTAATTGTGCACCAATTTGCCAATATCAGTCCAAATGTCCTGAATTTTTTGCAAATCCGACCGAGTTCAGTCTAGAAGCAATCACATTAAATTTTTTGAAAACCAGTTTAGATACGCTGTAGCTCTCATATATATGTTTCATCCGATTTGGGGTTCTAAGCCCCTCACATGCGTAACATGCACTCCACAACAATGATATTTGGTACCAGATATCTTATGAATCTCAGAAATATTTATGCAAAATTTTATCGAGAACGGATTTAGTGGATTTAGGGACGTACATATAATCCGAAGTGATATCATGCACCCTATAAAAGATAAAAATGTCTCCGTCAAATTTAGAGAAACCTCCTACACATTACCTCACTTTGAAATCAAATAATAACTGGTCTAGAGCCAAATGTTGATAGGTGGCAGGATCTACTTCAAATACATTCTTTTGTTACGGGAGCTCTACTAAATATGTATAGTGGTGTAAGGTATCATATAGTCGGCCCCGCCCGATTTTTTACTTTTCCTTACTGGTATTCTATAGTTTTGTTCTTCCATAATTTGTTCTTAAAACGAAAAATAAATAAACTCTTCTCTTCTCCATAAAATAAAGCTTGTCTAAACTGCCTAAAATTCTAGAAAACACTGAACACGATTCCAATAAAAAAAATCACCAAATTTACTGTACACTTCGGCAGTTGACAGGGGCACTTGACAACAAAGTAAAGCACTTCCAACTATTATCTAAAATTGCTCTAAAAGCTTATCTCGCATTGGCTTTGTTTTGAGCATGTTTTTTTGTTTTGGTTTGGTTCGCTCAACGGGTCATGTGGAATCCATCAAAACAAATTGCAAATACCCCCGAAAAAAACATCGGCCAATATCATCCCCCAGCTCTCCCCAAACCGGCGAGTGGGTTACAACTTGAGACATACCCCCAACATGGTGGTGGAGTCAAGTGGTGGATGGAGCCAATATCGTCATCAGTGAGCCGCAACAAATGCGAATATGCTTAAAAACTGTTCCGCTATTTGAAGTCACAAAACATTTTGTCCAGCGTTTTTATTTTTATTTTCGTGTTTTGTTTTTTTTTTGCAGTTTCAGTTTCAATTTTGATTTCATTTTCAGTATTTGTGTGTTTTTTTTTTCGTTTCATTATCGAATTTCGAATAGAATAACAGCTCGGATGCCAGTGGTTTACATGTGTTTGTTGCATGTTTCGCGCTTGGACGAGAGCTGGAGATGGACGCCAGCAAACAAACAATACCAACACCCATAACGCCAACACCAACAAAAACAACAACAAATCATATCAGAAAGATTCTGCTCGCATAGATGTTAATGTTTTTGCTATTACTGTCAGACGCTCTAATATATCTCTGATGACTGAAAGCGACACCAACAACAACAACGGCAACAATGGCGACGACGGCGACAACACCAACAACGAAAACAAAACTATTGCAAACGGGCATTTGCAGTTCGAAGCTCAGCTTTAATAGTTTCAAATTTAAAATAATGGAAATAGTTTCATTTCGGTTCTCTTCCCAAATACATGAACATTGTTCTCGTGAGGGACTTCAGTGTTCTGTTCGTTATTCCGTTCGATTTGGGGGGATCGTAAACGAGAAAACGATTTCGATCCTTTTTTTCTTGTGTGTTCGTCGCCATATCGTGTATTACTTCGGCTGATTGTGAATAGAAAATAATACGAAGGAAATATGTCATCCTTAAGGATTTTTTGGCTAATTGTGTTTGTATGTGTGTGTTTAGTGCAATTGATTTCCACACAATCGGTTGGCCATCGTTCGCTGGATGAAGCCCGTTCAGAACGCCAACGTTTAGTGCAAAAATACATTAAAACCCTGAATAAGGAGGAGGGAGCTATACGCCTTGTGGGCGGAGATGCGGAATATGAAGGTATGCAGGATATGCTAGGGAAAATTGGGTTAAAAGAATTTCAGAAGAATATTACTTAATATTGCTTAGGCGATTTGAACTATAATAAGAGGAAAGGGTGTGCCTATGCTCTAGTCCCTCGAAATTTGTGATATACGGACAAATAAAAAATTTTAGTTAAAATTTTAAAACTTTTTTAAGTTTGGCTACCTATTGGGTTCCCCATTTCAATATGGAAAGTAAGACAGAGAATATATCAATAAATAGATTATAGTATCGTAGTAGGATTCTGTAAGGACCATAAAGTATTGTATCCGCTTATACAGCTCGTAATCTTATATTTGAATTAATCTATTGCCTATTTTTGGGCGCTACCATGCGTGGGAAGGACTATGTCTTCTTTGAGATTCAACTCTGCAGATGTTTTTGTATTATCCTTTTCGGGTTTCCGAATTGCGTATGCGGTCCTTTCCAGTTTCTTTATGGAACATGTGTTTCAAGGGGATCTTTTCTGTGAGACACCATTACGCTATTGATTGGATATAACGTTACACCAAAATATGTGCATTTTTTGGGGTCGATCTAGCGATATCCTTCCGTTCGTCCGTCTGTCTGCCTCTCTGCTGGCTGGTGCACACGATAACTCTTGAAGGGGGTAAACGATTTGATCCAAATTTGGAAATCGTAATATTTTTATCAAACTTAGGTCGAGTTTGGCGATTGACAATACGGTCTACTCCTACTGGCAAATCCCCCACAAAAGGTCAATATTTTCAAAAAAATATTTTACTCCACAGAACAAGAAAGGATGATCCTATTTTGTTTCAACTTTGCAAATCCTAATATTTGCCACAGTGCTAGGTCAGGTGTGAAAATAGACATTATATGTCCACTCCATCTCCATCTCTAAATTTCCATCTCCATCTTCAAATTTCACACAGTACAATATTTTTATTTACCCAAGGTCTGGTGTTAAGGTGGTCGGCCGACTCCTTCTGGTACCTCTCCCACAAAGGGTCAAAGTTTTGAATATCCATGAAGCTCATATAAATTTCATCCGATTCCATTCAGACTTCAATATTTCCATCAACACAAGACCCGTTTTAAAGGTTGTAGAGATCGGATAATTCCTTCTGGTACCTCCCTCACATAGGGTCAAAGTTTTGAATAACAAAAACGATCATAAAATCCGAAATAACCATTAGTTTATCTTCGTACTTCACACATCCCATTTTTTTCTACTAATACAAGATCTGGTGTGAAGATGAGATATATCGATTTACTCCTTCTTGTACCTCCTCCACAAATTTTGAATATCCATGAAGCTCATAAAACGCGAAATTAACATCCCATTACATTCGGACTTGGCACATCTGAATATTTCTATCGACCCAAGATCTGTTATAAAGATGGCAGAGATCGGACAATTCCTTCGAATACCTCCCCAATAAAGGTTCAAAATTTTGAATAACAAAAACGACTATAAAATTCGAAATAAGCTCCCGGTTCTCTTCATATTTCACACCTCCTATTATTTCTACTAACACAAGACCTGCTGTGAAGATGGGATACATTGGTCCACTCCTTCTGGTACCTCACCAAGAAAGGTTAAACATTTTTGAATATCCATGAAATTCATAAAACACGAAATTAACATCCGATTCCATTCAGACTTGGCAACATCATCTATCGACCCAAGATCTGTTATAAAGAAGGTAGGGATGGGATCATTCCTTGTGGTACCTCCCCTACAAAGGTTCAAAGTTTTGAATAACCGAAACGATTAAAAAATCCGAAATCTTCATATTTCACACATCGCATTATTTCTACTAAAACAAGATCTGATGTCGCATACAAAGTGAAGTGGTCCAAACCTGGCGCGTCGCAATATTTTTTTATTATATATTTGTTTTGGTACGATACGAAATGGTCAATACTGGTCCATTTCTTCGCAATCTACGCCATAGAGGGTCAAAAATTTGAATAATTACAACAGGAGTCAACATTTATTCAAATAATCGAATATTTGTTTTTATTTTAACAAATGTGGCCTATATATCTCTCTTCAGTTTCTCCACTATTTACGCTACCACTTTTTGACATATGTATGTGATAATATCGTCTTATATGCAATTACATTTCCGCTTTGCAGTTACGTATACGTAATGACGACACTTATACGCTCCCACATCCTTCCATCTCGAATTCAATAAAAACAGTGTCTCAGCAAGAAAATTAATTTCAAACCCATAACATGTCAAAGTAGTAGATTTATAGATTAATATGTTCCACATTTCAATCACATCTGGCCAAAGGTATTAACATATTTAAGTCCGCTATTGATTCAAATAATTCACTTCACAGTAATTGCACACGCCAACTGGTGGATAACCGTACACACACACACACATTGTGGAAATTGTTATTTTTTTTTCATACAATTAACATGTCTATCAGAGCATTCATTTGCTATATATGTATATTATTATTACTATTTTTTCAATGAAAGTATTGACTTTAAACGCCATCCAGATGGGTTTGAAAAATTTGCATTTACATTTCAATCAATCAAATAATGAACAAATCAATCTTCGACATTTCATCAAATGCGGTGTAAATTGTATCGTTTACGTTGTTAGTCAATCACTTTTTCCTTTTCATTAGAACTGTGTGGCGGTTAGATTACGTCAAACGGACTGACGAACGGGTTGATTGAATTGTTTTGTGAGGGAAATGAATAAAATGTAATGGATATGTGGCGTATGAGTATTGATGCAACGTATACGACCTGATAGAATATTTTAGATAAATTTAAATGTAGAACATCATAATTATCCTTACGCTCTATTACAGGTAACATCGAGGTCCTGCACAACAACAAATGGGGCTCGGTGTGTGATGATGAATGGGACATGGTGGAGGGCAGAATTGTGTGTGAACAACTGGGCTATGCTGGTGTGAGAAAGGTAACACATAGCGGTTACTTTGGCCCGGCCAAGAGACGTTTCTGGATGGACAATATTTTCTGTGAAGGCCATGAAAAGGAGTTGACCCACTGCCATTTCGATGGCTGGGGTGTTAATGACTGTGAACCAAGCGAGGCAGCTGGTGTTATTTGTGATGCTCCTGTGGGGCTGGAACCAGAACCTGAGGTGCAACCGGAGTATTATGAACCCAAATATCGTGTACATTACACCCATAAAATGGATGTACGCCTAAGGGGTGGCAGACACCACAAAGAGGGACGTGTTGAGGTGCGCATCAACAACGGCAAATGGGGTACCATTTGCTCTGATGGCTGGGGCCTGCTGGAGGCCAATGTGGTTTGTCGCCAACTTGGTTTGGGCTATGCCCGAGATGCCATGCAAACGGATTTCTTTGGTGGTTCCGATATTGCTCCCCATTTGATTACCGGCACCGAGTGTTATGGCAACGAGACATCGTTGAATGATTGCCTGCACCATGACTATCTGCGCGGGGTATTGTCGTGTCATGGTTCATTGAATCATGTGGCCGTCGTGATATGTGATCACCTGGCGCCAGATCTAGTTATCGATTATTATGAAATTGAGCGTACCGCCCATTTGGAAGATCGTCCCATGGCTTTGATGCAATGTGCAATGGAGGAGAACTGTGTGGCCAATGAGGCTTATGAAATACAACGTGATGACCCGGACTGGCGCTATGCCACAAGGCGCCTACTCAAGTTTACTGCCAGCGCTTTGAATACGGGAAATATCGATTTTCGTCCGTTCAAGGAGAAGAATATGTGGGAGTGGCATATGTGTCATATGTGAGTGAGAGAGACGGATTGAAAGAGCAATAATTAATGCAGGTTATGTTTTTTATAGGCACTACCACAGCATGGAAGTGTTCGCCACATTTGACATATTCGACCACAGTGGCGTTAAAGTGGCCCAGGGCCATAAGGCCTCCTTCTGTTTGGAGGATAGCCAATGTCTGCCTGGCATACCCAAGAAATATAATTGTGCCAATTTTGGAGATCAAGGTAAGTTTTTTTGGAATTTCGGAAAAGAGAAGAATATTATTTTTGTATGAAGTAGCTGGTAATGCTTGGCAACCCCTGGTCTCAGAGAATAGAAGTTGAAGTTAAATTGGGGGTCATCAAACCTATTTTTGATACAGAATTTCGCTAAATTTGGGGAGTTTGAAAACAAGTGATTTTCTCAAATTTTAATTTTTTGATAGGAAAATTTTGCACTCGTCGTTGCGTATGGCAGCATCAGCCAGAGAGTCGAAGTGTTAGAGCTATACACTACTCTCCAATTAGTGAAGAGAGAGAGAGAGAGAGAGAGAGAGCATGCTACACAAATATCTGTTTGATTAAACTCTTTATATCCCGAGACATATGGCTGCAGAGGGCATTTGATACTGCCAAAGTTTGCCTCACATCCAGGAAACAAATGGGTATCTCACAAATTTTAAAAATAATACCTCTCCTAAAATAGGAAATCGATTTCCGATTTTTTTCACATGGAGATTTGATTTCCTGACCCTTTCCCTCTTTAACTCTCCCGTAAATAGCCAAAATTTTTTAATACCAATGTACCCCATAAATATGTGTGGTGAGATTTGCTGAATATGAGAAAAGATTTGTGTCCACTGAGGGCGAAACCTAATTTTTTAGCAATTTTGACATCAAATATCTATATATTTATTTAGCCAAAAATGAGTTTCGAAACTAGCAGTAAGTAAATTAGAATTTTCTAGCAAAATGTTCCAAAAAGATCTAAAAAAGTACCATTTCGGAGGTGGCAGGCAACCCGAGTTGTCGGTTGTTTAGAGGTAGTCTATCATTGACATTTTAATTCCGAATTCATCTAACAACTCCTCTTTTAATCTGTTTATTTCTTCTCTTCAGGCATCTCCGTCAATTGTTCCGATGTTTATCTCTACAATTTGGACTGTCAGTGGGTTGACATTACGGAAATGAACACCGGATCGTATACCTTGAAAATTGCCATCAACCCGGAATTCAAGGTAGCCGAAATGAATTTTGACAACAATGCTGCAATTTGCAACCTGCTTTACACTGACACCTATGCCCGTGTCGACAACTGTAGATTAGTTAGACCCTGAGAGGGCCACGGCTGTGATGGCCCATCAAGACAAGGCAGAGATGATCATTATGAACTGAACCATAAACAAATTATGCAATTATAATATTTTATGAGAACTTGGACCAACCATGACTGAAACGGGAACAAAGTGACTTGATACCATTCTGCCTGACATTGAGTGCCTGAGTGATTAATTCACAGATTTATGGCTGCGAAAAAAAAACAACTTTGAAAAACAACAAAGTAAGAAAAAAAACAACAATTAATTCAAACTGTGCCAAATAATTTAAAACCAAACTGTACTTAATTTAAACAAATAAAATAAAAACAAAAAATATATAAAAGCTTAAAAATGAAAACATAATAAAAACGTGTGAATATTTTCCCCAAACCATGCAAACGAAGCGAGAGCGAGAGCTATGTGTGGCAAATTATTTTAAAGTCATTTTCATTTTCATTTCCATTTATTTTATTTTTCCCCTCCATGCTGTTGGCGAAAAATCAGCAGAGTAGGAAGATGGAAATAAACAAAAACGTGATAATCACATTTGAACTTGAAAGTAACTGAGGCGTAGCTTTGCCACTGTTTTAGCTGAACGGATTGGATTTGGCCAGAGTTCGGTTGTTCGGTGTTCTCAGGCAAATTGTTAATAACTTTGTAACGTGTAATCATCATTGCCATCGTGATCATGATCAGTGGCATCATCATCATCATTATCGTCGTAATTACGTACATGCCAATAATATGTTAAATACCAAACTAAAAACAACATAAACTTTAGTGTAAAATTGCACCTTAATTATGGCAGCAGATGTAATTCAACTAAAACTTAAAGTGAAGCCTGGCTTTAAAGAACCTGGCTCATGAGAAACTAATGAAAATGTAAATAATTTTCCAAACATCCTACAAGCTAAAATTACTCCAAACACGATTGAGGCGAACATTCAACCGTTATAGCCATGTTCGACTGTTTATCGTTTAATTAGATCCAAAGATGACACATTGTGCCACAAAAATTTTGCATTCAATTCGGACATGTGTGCTGGGGCATTGTTGTTTTGTTTTTGTAATTTAATTCTGATTTTCTGATGAATAGTTGACAGTTGTTTGACTTTTATGGCGGCAGTGTTGTTTTGATTTGTAAATTTCAAGCTTCAATATTCTGTTCATCCATCCCGCACCGTCACCGACGTCGTCGTAGTCATCATCGTCACCATTTAGTTACCTCACAGACACTGGCTGGTGTTACGTTTACAAACCTATGAATTAGAAATAAATAAATATGGAAAAGGTAATTTGGTTATTTCATGCTTGAGTCGTCGACCATTGGCATGAATGTTGCCTGCAGTTTGTTCCTGCTTTTTATTGTTGTTGTTGTTTTTTGTAAGCGTTGTGTGCACATTGAACTTGACCGACCTTGTGTTTTTTTGGTTGTTGGGGCTAAGTTGGTTGGTTAATGAAAGTTTGGTGACCATCATTTTTTGGCTGTTAAATGCGAAATTACCTAAGCGGAAAAAGCACGTCAAGTTTCATTGTTTTTGGTGTGGACACTTATTAAACCAAACATATAAGGAAATTATTCATTTGAAGGTGATGGAAATATTTTGAAAGATAATTCAGTTTTTTTTTGAGGTGGGAGAGAAGAAGGCTTCTTTTATCCAACAGAAAATATTGCTACCGGAGACTTGATAGCAAGTTCTGAAGACTGAGTTGTATTAGAGAAAAAATCTGTAACACAAATGTAAGTTTCTATGAAGGTATCAAAACCTTTAAAAATTAAATAAAGGTTTTGAAAACAATATATTTGCTATACGTCTCCCTCCCTTCACAATAAGTGTAATATCTCTATCGTTTTTTGGTGCATTATTCATAACTAAACAAAAGAAAGTCAAATTAGAGCGAAACGTAAATTCAGAGGGATCCAAGTTGTATACTTCCCATATTAAATAGGGTTACCTTTCACGAATTCCGCGCGAAAAATTCCGTTTTACAAGTAATTTGGTTATAAATTGTGGAAAATATCTGAAGTCGTAGAAAGGGCTAGATTTGTCGAAAATTTACAATAGGTTCTCTATGGGCCAAAATATACGATATTTTTTATGCTTCATAGCAAGAATACAAATTTCGTTTGTTTAGAGACTCCTAATGAAATTTTATGTATAATATTTCTTTCATTGGCACTTTCCTCAAAAAACGACATATTAATGGAGATTTTGACTTAGAATTGAAACGTGCTGAATTAGCATGTAAAAAAGGTAAACACTTTATTTTTCATTTGTAAAATATATAAATTTCGAATGTAATTTTCTTAAAAACTATTATTCCTAGATATATAGTTTCTTCTGAAAATTCTATTGAAATTTTGTATAGAATATTTCTTTCTTTATCATTTTTTGTGTAAAATGAAATTTTATGTATCATTCATGCAAGAAATTAAAAAAACAACCGATCAAGAACTGACCAAAAAAAATTAGAAAATATTTTCGGTTCTTGATGGAAGTAGATTTTTTGGTGACTTATAGTGAAATTTAATGAGGAATATTTTTGTCCATGTTGTATAGAATATTTCTTTTTTTATCATTTATTGTGCAAAATAAAATTTTATGTTATCTTCGTGCAAGAATTTAAAAAACCGATCACGAATTGACCAACAAAATTTTGAAAATATTTTTGTTTTTTTTTTTTTTTGGCGACGTTGATGCAAATATTTTCTTGATATATAATTGAAGTAGATATTTCTTTTCTTTGGTGACTTATAGGGAAATTTGATGAGGAGTATATTTGCCCTTGACACCATCCTTCTAAAATTATGCTTTGTAGGGGAATTTCAGATAAAGTCCCATCATGTTCTATTTTAACCCTAAATTGTGTTTGTAATGTTTGTGAATTCCTGACATTTATGTAAGATTTAGACTTTGTATGTATCCTGGGACCTATAGTAGAATTTTGTGGCAAATAATTTTGTAGGTAAAAATCCTGTTTTAACATATTTTGAAAAAAGGACCTAAAAGACCCGTTTGGTGACTCCCATAAGTGTTTCATTTTTTAACCAAAATTATCCATGAATTCTTATCAGTAATATTGCTAAAGACACTATATATAAAATGAAGGGTCTCCAAGGAATCTTATACCGAAAATGTTAAAGACTGCGGAAGGGAGTTTTTGCTATATTCCGAAAAACAAAATACCCCTTTGGTGACTCGCGTGGAGGTTACCGTTTTCGATCCAAATAGTCCTACTATTGTTATCAGTAATATTGTCGAAGACACTACATCCCTAAAATGCACTGATTCCAAGGAATCTTAATTCGAATGTTTCAAAAAAAAAAAAACAAAATAAAATAAAAAAATAAATTTGGAGAAGGGGTAATTTGTCGGCTACGTTTAGGTTCGAACCAAATTTTCAAAACGTATTTTTTGTTGTTGTTGTTATTAGCCTCTCTTTCATAATCTGCTTCGCTTTTTTTTTGTGTTGGGCAGTGTTATCTTCACCTCAAAATTTAAAATTAGAAAAGAGTGTGCCCTTCAATCAAAAAGCTACAACGGGGAAACATTAAATATCAAAATATAATTTTAAGAAACTTTTTATATTGTAGGATCTAAATGCCCAATAATTACATTAAAGGGAACATAGGAGGGAAATCCTCGTATATTCAAGAGACCGCAATTCGTAAATTTTTCTGTTTTTTTAAATATTGTGAATTTCGACACTCCTTTCACAATCGAAGATAAGGAGAAAGTTTTATATTCAATAAAACAGTTTTTTGCTTTTATATGTTTCACTTGCACCACCTCGAATGATCGTAAATCAATCATTTCGAAATGCGAACCAAGATTAAAAAAAATAAATAAATAAGTTAAATTACGAACGGAGATTCCTAATAAACCAATGTTACTTACAGATTTCAAAATCCAAAACTAAGAGTATAAAATCCTATTCCAAAATAGTGTTTCAGCTTAAAATATAAATATCGAACACATCAAACTACTTTGCTCTGCACTACTTTGTCATTCAAGAGAACTCACGTCAAAGAGATTCTAATTTAACTCTTTATTGAAGAGCGAAAAAACTGACCTAATTTTAGACTCACCAAAAAAAATGAGAGATTTCGAAAAAAAACTCGAAAAACAAAACATTGCCATAATTCAATTAAAATTCATAATACCAAACAAAAAATACGAATGCGAGGAGAAAGAAAACCAAGCAAAATAAATCGAATACGAAAAATAACAGTTCGAGTGGCTGGCAGTCAGCTGTTGTTGTAAATGGAACAGAAATGCTCACGCACACACACACAAACAATCACATTTTAATTCATCCAAATATGGATTCTCGATAAAAGTCAACCAAAAACAATGGCCAACAACGGCAGATAGCCAAATTAAAATAAAAAGTAAACAAAAAAAATAAAACCAAAAACAGCAAAACAAAACACCAAAATAATAGATTTATGAAATAAATAGATATATGACCGAAAATTACGTAGCCCATCAACACCCATTGACTTTGAAGGCGAGAAGGGCCATTATTATTCATACACTTCACGTAGAGATGGCCAACAGAGCCATCAATTGATAATACGACAAAGTCGTAAATCACTCCCCTGTGTTTGGTTGTCACACAGGGGGGTATGCTAAATTGGGGGAAGTCATACACATCAATACGGCTTGAGTGGGTTTGTTTACATCCACTTCAACCGCATTCCCATACTGCCCTCTTTGACAATGTTAATTGATAGCGAAATCGATAAACTTTCGCCACTTAAGTGGCTACTGCGAAAACATACAACATCACCGCTTGGCTAAAACAGCAAAACTGGCCACTAGGCACCCACGCATGCGCAAATACAGCAATGACAACCACAGTAGCAGCACCGACTGACCGCAACACTGGAGCATGAATAAAAACGGCCAGCCAAATAGACCACCACTTTGTGGTACAACAAGTTGTCAGCTTTGTCAACGCTTGGCATCGCTGCTGCGTCTCACCGGCCAAGAGAGTGCGCTGTAATTAAAGTGAAAGAAGCGCACAACAGCGTCGAGCGCAGCTTAAAGAAATCACGGCTCCCTGTTGAATACGAAATGAAAAATATGCACAGTCGGTTTTTAAGCGTCAAACGTAACAAACGGTTTCGTAGAAATAGAAATAGTTCAGTCGCCAAAAAGGTTAGCTTGTGAAATACATTTGAATATCGTTCGGCTAAACGGTGAACAGAATGTTAATAAATTTGAAATTGTTAACATTTGTTGGGGCAGTGCTGCTCATCTGTGGACCCATGCCGCTGCATGGAGCACGACGCAAGACCACTCCCATCAATGAGGAACAAGAACAAACTCTCAAACAGTCGCAGAGTACCTTTGTCGAATGGGTACTGTCGTTGGTGCCTCAGAGGCCTAGCTTGGACCCATTAACAGGATTTCTGGGAATAGCAACAACAACTACAACCACTGCAGCTCCACACAGAACAACAGCAGCTGCTGAAGTTACCAGCACCACCACCGAGAGAGTGACAACTGCTGCACCATCACCTTCAACGACTGTCAGCACTTCGACAACAACAACTACTACTGCAGCACCCCCATCTACCACCCCCACACCTCCGCCAGTACTCAATCCACCACGCAATTGCTCGGACTGTGTCTGTGGCATTGCCAACACTCAGAAACGTATTGTGGGTGGTCAAGAAACCGAGGTCCATCAATATCCCTGGATGGCCCAGCTTCTCTATGGCGGACGTTTCTATTGTGCTGGCTCCTTGATTAATGATCAGTTTTTGGTCACTGCCTCCCACTGCGTCTATGGTTTTCGCAAGGAACGTATTAGTGTTCGTCTGTTGGAGCATGATCGTAATGCATCACATTTCCAGAAAATCGATCGTAAGGTTGAAGAGATCACCACCCATCCAAAGTATAATGCTCGAACCTATGACAATGATATTGCCATCATTAAATTGAATGAACCTGTGGAGATGACTGATTTGTTGCATCCCGTCTGTATGCCTACCCCGGGAAAATCGTTTAAGGGTGAAACGGGCACTGTGACCGGTTGGGGTGCCCTGAAAGTGGGTGGATTTACTTCGAACACGTTGCAGGTAAGATATGTTAGAACTATTTACATAAGATGTGGTTTGATGGAATTTGATGAAAGTGTCTGAGGCACAACTTTATGCATATCGCATGAGAGTGGGAGATCGAACTCAATCGCTCAGAGAAAAATCGATTAAAATCGATAGAAAAGGATTTGATGGAGTCAGAAATTAATTTTGAGGTTTCATCCAAATACCCAAGCTCCATTAAAATAGTTTAAGCTTGGAAGTATTTCTCGAGTAAATATCCAAATGGGAATTAATGACCTCGAATAATATAAGAGTCAGTATCATTTTTTAAATATCGGTTCCGACCAATGATGTGCGAAATTAACCAAAAACGTACGTAGGCCGCATAGATTATATTGATTATACGTGTATTCTCTATCCTCTCTTTTCGTCACCGATTTTTGATGGTGAGTTCTCGGTTATGCTCATACACTCACTCTCAATTTAGTTATGCACATCATTGTTCCAGACCGATCTCAAGCAAAAATGTATTTAAAAAAAAAGGTGTTTAAAAACATATTTGTCGACTCAGATCGAATCATACATAGAAGGTGTTTAAAATGTATCTATTGCTGATATGTGGAGAATATTCTAGAACTTACAAATCAGTTTTATAAAGATTCGAGTCCGATGCAACATTTTGTATGGGTATACACTAATGAAGAATAGTAGTAGAGAGGTGCATATTTTTGGTCTCTCTTTTGTGAGTCATGTGCTTAAAGTTCTCGGAGAGCTCAACCTCACATTTTTGATCTTATAAAGAGGGATGTGGGAGTAATTTAAGTTTGACTGTATGTGAGTTCTTTCAACAATCCTTGAAATAGGTTCTTTTTCTCTAAATGAGAGTATTTCTTATTAAATATCCGATATGATTATTCAAAAGCTCTTCGACGTGGTCTTCAAATTGATTTTGAATGGACAAAAGTATGGAGCTTGACCGTCATGTTTTTCTAGTTTCTTTATACATTTATAGAAGCATACTTATTTATACAACATAAAATGATCTCTGAATTCGAATAATTCCAATTTCTATTTATTATTATTTATTTATTTATTTTGATTTTATCTAACACACATTTTCTTTCTTTCCTTTGATACCACGCCACAGGAAGTAAAAGTTCCCATAATGTCACAAGATGAATGTCGCAAAACACGCTATGGCGCATCACGTATCACCGATAATATGCTCTGTGCTGGCTATCCTGATGGCATGAAGGACAGCTGCCAGGGGGATAGTGGTGGACCATTGCACATTGTGGCCACTGGGACCAGGGAACACCAATTGGCCGGTGTTGTGTCCTGGGGCGAGGGATGTGCTAAGCCAGGCTACCCTGGTGTCTATGCTCGTGTCAATCGTTACGGCACCTGGATAAAGACCCTAACCAAAAATGCCTGTCTTTGTCACTCGGAGACGAAGAAAATCAAAAAGTAAAGCCAGCCATGAGAAGATAAACGGATTTATTTTTTATTTATAAAATTAACCTATTTGTATTTTATTTATTGCTATTTATTATTATTATTAATTAAGTTGAAAATGAAATAAACACTTATCTGCTAGTGCCAACATTTATCTGTGCCAGAGAGCAAAAAAAAAAAGACGTGCAAAAGAAACTTTCTTTTTTCATTTCTCCAAGACAGACAGACAGACTGACTGGCCGACAGACTGACCACAGGTTGGTAGGCAAAAAAGCCGGTTTTCTGCAAAGTCATTGTAGGATTTCAATTTGAATGCACTTGAAGTCGTTCAGACAGCAGCGATTTATTTTCGCACAGACAACTTGTATGGCCGACATGCATGCACATGGAACGGTGGGATGGGGTATCACGACATATGTGCAGAGCATATTAATGCGTTCACTTTTGGCCGGCAACCAAGCGGCTGCCAAGAAGCTAGTTTATTGGGAAAAACGCTGGCCGGCAATGAAAAAGAAAAAAATGCAGAAGAAAAACTTTTATTTCAATCGCTGGCTGGGCTAAGTTAGTTAGCCCACATCTGTGGCCGTTACAACACACACATCACTTTGTGAACGTCATGAACGCTTATAAGCGACATTGGCAAATTGTTTTGCCATGGACGTTCCTGCTGCTGACCTCCCCTGTGCTGGGTGCAAATTCCACACCACAAGGATTCTCATCGACATCAGTGCTGAGGCAAAACAATTTCTTTGAGTGGTTGCTGTCGATTTTCCAAACCATTCCACCGTTTAGTGTTATACCCACAACTGGTCGGCCCCCAACTACAGCACCGGTGACGACCGAACCAAGTGCTTGTGAGGCCTGTAAATGCGGTGCAGCCAATTCCATACGGCGCATTGTGGGTGGCTATGAGACTCAGGTAAACCAGTATCCCTGGATGGCCATGTTGTTGTTTCGAGGTCACTTCTATTGCGGTGCATCGCTCATCAGCGACCGTTATGTTGTGACAGCTGCTCATTGTTTGAGGAGTTTTCCACGGCCATTTGTGAGTGTGCGTTTAATGGCTCATAATCTAAAGGATCGCACGGTGCGGGTGATTGATAGAAGGGCCGACAAGGTGGTGGTGCATCCAAAGTATTCCATGTCGAATAATGACAATGACATTGGTTTGGTGAAATTGGATCAAGTGGTGGAAATGTCCAGTGTAATGAGGCCAGTGTGCCTGGCCATATCTGAGAGGAGCTATGACGATGAGTTGGCTGTCATAACCGGATGGGGTGTTACCAGCGAGGGTGGCCAAGTGTCACAGACATTGAGGGTAAGTTGTGGTTCTACATTCGTGCTTAATAATTGCTTTGAATTGTACTTTTAGGAGGTCAAAGTTCCCATTCTCTCCCAAATGGCGTGTCATGCAACGAAATATGGTAAGGATCGCATTACTGAAAATATGCTTTGTGCTGGAGCCGCTGAGGGTGGTCTTGATGCCTGCCAAGGTGATAGTGGCGGCCCCTTGATGGTGTCAAATGGGGACCTGAATACTTTCCACCTGGCCGGTGTGGTCTCATGGGGCGAAGGTTGTGCCCGTGAGGATTATCCTGGCGTTTATACACGTGTTAGCCAATATCTGGAGTGGATTGATGAGAACACAAAAGATTCATGCGGATGTGAGGTGCCATCTCAAAGAATTGATCAGGTGGAGATATTGGAAAATGAATTTACATTCATTAAAAGTGCAGTATAATGTGGTAAACTATTTTTACAACAAATGGATGAAGTGTAATTGGAGAAAGAACAATCAATCTTTAACCTGGTACTGACCCATTTGGAACGAAAAAATATAATTTATTATTAATTTCAAATAAAAATTGAAAAAAAAAAAAATAATAAAAATTGATAGAAAAATAATTGGATATGATAGCTTATAAAGAGGAATTTCTGCCAACGAATAATAGCTATCGAATTATGAATGAATTAGCAATATATATTTTTTTCTACGAATCTTATTTTTTTCTTCTATCAAATTCTCTTATATCTTCCTATATCTCTAAATCTCATGGAGCTACAGCTTTTTTACTTAGAGTTTGATCTAAATCATCAAAAATAAAATTTAGAGAAAATACGGGATATGTAGGTCCAAATTTTATGGTACATCCCGCGCAGAGGTTGTACATAAGTAAATTGTCAAATTCTACCGAAACGTCGACTTATAAAAATTAGATTCAATTTTTTTTCCACCTATATTCAAAAAATATAATAAATAAATAAAATAAAATATATATAATAATAATAATAAAAATATTGTATAAAAAAATAAAATAAATAAAAAATAGAAGTTGCAAATTTTCTTTTTAAAATTAAAATTCTTCTCTCAAAGAAGCACATGGTATATTAAACCACAACCTCAACTCCTAAAAGTATGCAATACCATAAATTCACATTTCTTTCATTAATGATCATTTAAATGGATATGATACACACAAATTAAGGCTTAAATTCCAACATGCATTCAGACAGCAATATGATTGAAACCATATCAAAAACGGAGAGAAATGTTTTACTCACACACACATCTTGGCACACACATGGAAGCCACAGATGGGTCAACATGAAGGATGTTTGCCAAAACACGCACGACATGATCCACCATTTCTGTCTTAATTGTCGTTTTCCGCATTATTCAACATTGACGACATCAACGAATGGACGAAGGAAGAATTGCCGGGTATAAATGACAGCTATGGCGAACAAAGCTATGATTTCCTTTCGCTGTTGCCACCGCGTTGATTATTTGTTTATTTCCGTGCATCAGCAGCAGCAGCAACGGCGGCTATAACAGGAGCGCCGGGAATGGGAAAGCCATAGTCCATAGACTTGAGTCGCCAGACGCCGGAATATAGCTTTATGCGACAATGGGCCATCTTGCGCTCGTATAGATCGTGGTGGTGGTGGTCCGACTCGCCCAACACAGAGACACATAATATAAATGTAATTAAATTTGCACATGTGTCCTGTGTGAACGTGACATGCCAACGTCAATGTTAATGATGATGACGATACCGTCAACATCGGCGACGGCGGCAATGGTATTCAGGAGAAGAGAATTATGATGATGGAGATGGTGGTGTACCAAACACCCACCCACCATGTCGAGAGAAAGAGAGAGAGAGGACAGCCATTATTGTCATTTAGTTGAAGCAATCTGTTGAATGATGCGTTTCGCTTGCAGATTATTTTTGGTGTTTTTATTTGGAGATGGCTTTACAAATGTTTTTTATTCGGCGACCTACCCTCCCTTTGCCTGGCAAAGGAAAATGAGTAGGAAATTAAAAGAATTCATGCGTTGAAATTAATTTAAAGATATTTTTCATTAACGCAGACACTCAAGCTTACAGCGAGAATGACACATTCAACATGGAATTGCAATCCGAGTGTGTTACATACACGTATATATACATGTGTGTGTGAGCATGTGTGTGTTGTGATATGTTTTTTTATGCCGCAGATGAAAGAGAAAGTTTTCATCTGCCCAGTGGCATCCTGCCTACCCTTACGGCTTGTAATTATTTGCCCAACACTTTGGAATTCCCACAAACGCTTGGCTGCTCAAGTTCCATTGAGGGCAAAACAAAAATGCAATTTCTTTTTCACGTTTTTATTTTTGTGTCTTCCTCACTTCTGATCATAAAAAATTAATTGAATTTCTTGCCTTTCGTATAGGTGTAGGGAGGTGGGTGAATGTCTTGTGTTCGATTGTCGGTTGGCTGGTGATTACACAACTAACTGACTTAAGTCTCCTTCTTGGGCCACCCAAATGTAATGCTAGTTGTTCATAGTGTTGGCTAGAATTTGTCGACAGCATAGTTTTTTATGGGTTTCCGTTTTTCCCAGAAATGCGGAAAACTCTTCAATTTCTTTTTGCGAAATAAAATGCGTGTGTGGCGTTTGTCAGACATTCATATATAACGTTAATGATTTTATGGTCGGTTTATTGATAATTTTATTACTTTGGCACATGTCTAGGTCTTAGATGGTTACAAATTACAAGAAAGCTAGAAAAGAAAAATCGACAATGGGAAGGAAAATAAAGATTGTTCCACTATTTGACCTTATGAACTGTTATGTGGGATATTAACTGCTTTTTGGAGTAACCTAGCCTCAAAATGCGAGAGCTTGAGGAGAAAATTGTAAGCAGGCAAGTGTGATGTGTATGAATGTTTTTCTGAAAATAAAATTGGGTGGACTTCAAAGCTTCAACGACAATTAAAACTGGCCAACAAACATACCTCAGCCGACTATGAAAGGAGAGCTAAAAATAGAAAACACGTGTATCGACATTTTGGAAAGTTTAGAACGCAAGGTACCCTAAATTGAGAGGGGAAGTGCCTGCTTCTTTCAAATTTTCAGAGATTTCCGCATTAAGGACACCATGGAATCCTTGCATTTTTGGTTTATAGTGTCTTTGACAATATTCGATAATCGCTCGTTACCGTGATGCTAGTAGCGTAGCCCGACGTCAAGGAAGTGGAGGGAAGAAAACAGCGACATCAGTAGAAATGGTTCGAAAAGTAAAGAAGCGACTTGATCGAAAAATGCCGGCAAATTTTAATTCCAAAAATTGCAAGAACTTACACCGCAACAGAAACAAAATAGACTCGAAAGAGCTAAAGAGTTGCTTTGCTTGACCGAAAGTGGTAAACTGCCGAATTTGGTTTTCTCCGAAAACATTCGTTGTCCAGCAGTTTGTAAACAAACAAAATTATCCGCTCGTGTTTACTTGCCAAAGAGGTCAGCTGAAAATGTGCACCTTCGGTTGGCCACCAGATACCAGAACTCAAGCGCCGGCCATGGTGATGGTGTGGGCCGCCATAACAGCCGATAGTCGCTCTTCGTTCGTATTAATCAGAATAAATGCCGAAAATTATCGCGAAAATATTCTGGAGGGTGTATTAAAGCCTGGGCACGCAAACATTTTGGCCGCAGACCTTGGACATTCCAACAGGACTCAGCACCATCGCACTCAGCACGTGCCACCCAAGAATGGTTAGAAGAGGTTCCTCGCTTCATTTCCAGCGCACAATGGCCACCAAAATCTTCGGATAGCAATCCGTTGGACTATTGTGTCTGGGGTATTTGGGAAAGCAAGGTTGTTACTAAAAAATACCAAAGTGCCGATCACCTTTAAATCCCATTCCCTCAACTTAAAGCTGAAAGAAACATTTTTCTTTATTTATTTCCTCGCTCTCCTCCCCCTGGAAATTAATAACTCAGTCAGTCGGTGAAGTCAGTTTTAAACAAATATTTGTATCTTTGTTTGAAACCTCAATAATTGCCTTGTTTAGAATTGTTCTGCTAACCCCTTTCGATAAGGGATGTTGGATTGCAACCCATCCATCATGGAATCCTGCAACACAAACAAGGCACTAGGTCGATATTGAAATGAAAAAGGAGAGTTCATTTTACAATTTGCCAAACTCAAGTAGTAGAAGAAGAAGCGGCAGCAGAAGAAACCTCCAAACGAAACAAAAACACCAAAATCCAAAACTGAAACCAAGAAAATAGAGAGTAACTCGCATTATGCATACAAATGAAGTTCGTTCGTTTTTTTTTTTTTGGCCCAGCAATCAAACTTGGCAATATCTGTAACAGCAGAAGCAGCAACAACATCAATGTATGAACCATTCAATCAAACTGAACTCAAACCTAGCAACAGAAAAGAGAGACAGCATTTCAAAACAGTCAAATGTGAGACAAGCAGTCTATCTTCACTACGAAATGGTCGTGGTGGGGGCGATGGTGGTGTAGTTGTTGCTGGTGTTCATTCTGATTCTCATTTTAAGCTCAAGTGTTAAACGAGCGTAAACAAATCCGAAACCCTTACATAGGCCACAATGCAAAATTAAAATTCCAAAAACGTAGCGTTTTACAGCCCTTCCTCCGCACATGCACACACACACCCAGATACACATGGGGATGAAAGTCCTAAGGAGAAAAATGTTGCAGTCGCACCGAACAAACAACCAACCAGCCAACCGACCTACCAACAAAGCCACTGCCATAGTCCATTTAATATGAATATTTTCAATGAGTCCCAAACCTGGGGACTGGGTTTACAAAGTCAGCAACATCACTCCTGGTGGTGGGGTGGGCAAATGTTCCCATATCCTTTTTTTAATTTACTCTTTGGACCTTCCTTTCACATCCCAACGCTTTTGCCGAAAAGGCAACATTTTATATGGATTTTTTGTGTGTTGGTTTGTTGTGCTTCCGTTTTTTGTTGCGGCATCAGTCCTGTTCCCTTTTATTTTTTGTCTGTTTCGGTTTCACATTCATTTGGTGTGTTTATCATTCCAAATTGAACATTATCATTATTTTTATTGAGAAATTCAGTTTATTGGATTACAGCATGTGACCCAATATTTATGCGTGTTCGGCTGACTTTTTGTTTTTTTCTGCAGACTGCGGGTTTTTTCTTCACCCGTGCCGAGGGAATATTGATTTTTTTTGTGGTTTCCTTTTTTGGCTTAGTTTCTAAAGTGAGCTAGATGGTCAAGTCATATTCCGTTGAGACATTTTTAGTTGAATGTAAACTATTGGGAAAATATGCTCAAGGCAGTGGGGGTGATAACATCTGACCACCATTTTGGTTGTCACAATATGCCAAAAATGTCAATCCTTATTTGAATAACAAAAAATGTTTAAAGAATATGTAAATTTGGAAATAATTAAAATTTTAGTCATAAA